GACCAATTGAAGAGTTTTCGCATTTTAAAGTAACCGAATATCGTCAATTTATGTTGTATACAGGGCCGGTCGTTATGTACGGAATTATAGAAGATGATGTTTATCTACATTTCCTTCTTTTGCAAGCAGCATTGCGTGTCTTGTCTTCTTCTTCGCCATCTCCGATAAACTTACAATTTGCACAACAAGCTTTAAAATTATTCGTGGAACAGACCGAAATCATTTATGGGGCATCTTTTTTGTCGTACAATGTGCATGCTCTTATACACCTCGTAGACGATGTCGTAAAGCTAGGACCTCTAGATTTCTGGTCAGCTTTTCCTTACGAAAACAATATGCGTGTTTTGAAAAAATACTGCAGAAAACCACATCTTTGGAGCAAATTGCACGTAGAACTGCCGAAGAAGCGAACTGCCCTGATCGCTTTACGACGAAGCAAAACAATGATGCGCCGGTAAAAGTGACCGGACAGCACTACAGCGGAAATGTGCCTATGGAGCTTGCTGGTGCTCGTCAATACAGTAATGTAAAAACTGTGAATTTTACATTGGGTCTTCAAATTCACAATCATTGTTGTATCACGCGTAATGGCTCCATCTGCATAATTTCGAACATTCTCACAATAGGTTCTTTGTTTTATCTCATCGTTAAAACGTTTCGTTGTGTTGAAGCTTTTTATAACGTAGGCATATCATTTTCTTTTGTAGGTGTTTTTAAATGTTCGGCCTTGAGCACGCAGACCTCTCATATTCTTCTCGATGACGTTGTAGCAAAGGCTTATAAAATGCCAAACTGGCAAGCTCAATCAAACACTTTCGATAATAACAGCGATGAAGAAGTATATGTCCAACCTGCCAACAGTCATTGTTATTAGTATGTATAACAATCATGAAGAAAATTAATCATTCCAACCTGTATTCTTGCTAATACATTTGTACATTTACTTTTGAATAAGTAAAATGTAAATGAAAGATAATTTATAATGCAACTATAAGGTACAAATATTTAATTTAAAATATAAGTACAATTTCAAATATAAATATGAAGTATAAATAGACTCCTTAAATAATTTAAAATATAAATATATTTAAATATTCACATAGTTTATATATACTTGCAACGTAATATTTGGATAATATATAATTTTTGTATTTTTTAATCCGTTGTTAACCACTTTTGGCGTTATTACAAGAGCAATATTACAAGTCAACCATTGACGATAGGATCAGTACATTATTAGTGAATTTGTGTAAATTTACTTGTACGTTAACTTAATTATTAAGCAACAATTATGCAACACTTGTTTCTTTTTATACAAACAGTTACCATTTTATCATATTATACTCTGCCTTAATATTTTGTTTTCTTTCAAATAAATTATTTATAAGATAAAAAATTTAGAATAAAAAATAATATAGTATTAAAAAACTAAGGTTTTAATAGCTCTCAGCTTACGAATTTATTATATCAGAAACATTTTCTTTTGTACCTACACTCAATTAATACTAATAATAATTTTCTAGAATGGCGGTTCGGGTCCGCAGGAAGAAGAAGGAGCCAAGCTGGCACAAAGACATGGTGCAACTAGCATCCACGACGGAGTCGTCTTCGAATGAGCAAGAACCGTTGCGCAAAACATCATCATCCCTATCAGACCGTATTCAGCGGATTAAACGTTCCCTTAAAAATTACCAACCGGATGCTCCATCTCCCGTAAATCATAGCTGTTCTGAACTTTTAGATATTTCCGCAAATTATCCACATGTGCAGTCACCATTCACATCTTCTCGACAGCTGCTCATCCAGCATTCCCATGGAACCCTCGACAATCACTCATC